CCTATGATGAAAATTACAGGCCTCTCTCATCTTTTTAAGTGGGAGATAAATTCTTTAAAAATCAGACAATGTGATTTTCTGGATTTTTTTCCCCATTTTGTCTCTCATAGTTGAGGTATACCTATGATGAAAATTACAGGCCTCTCTCATCTTTTTAAGTGGGAGATAAATTCTTTAAAAATCAGACAATGTGATTTTCTGGATTTTTTTCCCCATTTTGTCTCTCATAGTTGAGGTATACCTATGATGAAAATTACAGGCCTCTCTCATCTTTTTAAGTGGGAGAACTTGCACAATTGGTGGCTGACTAAATACTTTTTTGCCCCACTGTATTAGTTAAGGATGCTTTTCCTGCACCATTCAATTCTAAACCCCACTCTGAGTGCTGTTATTAAGCTATCGAGCCTTTCATGGTTTGGCACCATCTCCCCATATATTCCTTCCAGTCATCTTCAGAAGCATTACTCAGGGGGCCTGGAATACCCTCCCTCAAGAGGCTGGCCAGGGCTATATTGAAATAATAGACCAAATTAAAAAAACAGATCCTAAGGGTTGGATGGCAAAGGGTTACACATAAGACACTTCCAAAGCATTCTGCAAAGCATCAACTACAGCTATTATTCCTTAGCCTGCCAAGCTAAGAAGGATTCTTTTCCCCCAAATTCAAAAGCAAGTTGCCATATATAAAATTACTTTACAAGGAGTCATGCCACTGAGCCATCTACCTCAGCAATAACTCCTTGGACTAGATGTGGCTCACTGACTAGGGACCAGGCAGAAGAGAGCTTTCCCCAATATTTGCAAAGACCCAAACTGGGCGCTTACCCATGCGAAACAGGTTAAGACAGGCCACCAAGCTGTGCTTCTTCCCCACAAGCCAGGCTCTGCATCTCATAAAGCGGGTCTGACAGACACAGCACTAATGTCTATTCAGAGATGAGAAAGCAAGCAAGCTCCCTACTCTGATTGCTCACCTTTGACTCGTTCCTCACTGGCAAACTCCTTGCAATCTTCCTTTAGATGGAGAATTATTTTAGTCCCAACCTGAACTCCAGAAGCTTCTGAAATTTCGAACGTCCCAGAACTAGGATTAAAAAAGCAAGTCAGAGGAAATAAGCAAGTTGTAATTATGAACTGCAAACAAGTAGGAGCCCACAGGCTAAGTCCTATCCCCCAAGCAGTAAACCAGTGCACACCTGACTCTTGTCCTCATGCAAAATTTGCATGACCAGCTCTCCCCCATGGAAAGTAACATTCTAGCGCCCATTACCCGGGCACCAATTTCTGCGGAAGTATCAGAAACATCTTGCAGAGAATAGGCCTTCTCTTCTGCTCAGCCCTTTTAAACTCGCCTTCACTCTGGGATTCCAATTCAGGCAGGCAAGTAGAATCCAGCAAAGCCTAGAATGTGCCACACAGCCCTTTAATCATTCAGCTGCAGCCCCTCACCCAAGCCTCTGCTACATCCTTACCCATCTGAACGCCAGCAATGACTGAGGCTATCTGGCTCTGCTGACTTGGTGAAAACTTCCACTTGATTAGCCACCATAAAGACCGAATAGAAGCCCACTCCAAACTGGCCAATAATCTTACTGCTGGCCTCTGTTTGGCTCTGTAGTGTATCCAGAAAGGCCTGTAGATATAACATAGACAGGCTAAGTGCATGAAGAGGACCCAACTGGTTTGCCTCCCCTTCCTACCATCCCTGCTTGCAAAGAACCAAATACCACTCTGGTTCTTGAGTCCACATCCAGCATACCACCTAAGCATTCTTCCCCAAACCCTTGTTCTTTATTTAAATATCATTCAAGAAAATAGCAGTAGATATATTTATACCCTGTAAATAAAATATACATACATTCACACACACATGCGCATATAGATTTACTGTTTGTTACGCCCAGTCACATTATTTGAGTTGGGTGGCCGAGTGAGTGAGTGAGTGAGTGAGTGAGTAAATAAATAAATAAATAAATAAATAAATGGGAATGAACAAAATGAAGCCAATTAGTGAGTGAGTGAGTAAATAAATAAATAAATAAATGGGAATGAACAAAATGAAGCCAATTACCACCAGAAAGCTCAGGTTTTCTCCCAGACTAGTGATGCAAATGTTTTAAAAAATGTTTAAATGCAAAGCAATCAAATTACAAAGCTAAAAACAGCAACAGGTTTTATTCAACAAATGTACAAGAAGTTCTGTGGAGATTAAAGCTCTGTTTGTGCTACAACGGTACTCAAATATGCAAAGCCACACCCACAAGATCACAGTCCCCCTCTTCACCTTACCTTGGAGCCAGATCTAGCAATGGTCCCTAAATTGGACAGAAGTTCTTCATGGTTCATCCCAATTCCAGTGTCCTGCAAGCAACAGGATAGAAAAGATGCCTCTCGCACATCTAGCATTGCTTTATGGGATGCATGGGAAGGGAGAGGCTCCTTCTCTGGCCCTCCCTCACCTTTTCACACAGAGACAAGAATCAGATTAAATGACCATTCCACTTCAGATAATTTGTCCTGACAGCTGTGACCTAAAAGTTGCTAAAGTGCAGAAAAGGCAAAATCAAACTCTCCTTACCAAGCCACAAAACTCGTGTGGTAACCTGAGTCAAGCTCAAAACTCAGCCTAGCTGCAATGCTCAGTTTTAAATCCTCTCCCATCTGGGAAAACTCCCAAAGTATTCCAATTCCTTTCCCAGTTTCTTCTTTCTGGGACAAGCAAGGCTAGAGTCTCACTGGCAACTGACTTGCCAAGCAGCCTTGAAGACAAAGAAGCAGAGAACCCACTGAATAGCAAGAGGAACATGTCGCTCTTTACATGTCAGGGAAAAAGAGGGTCCTGCTCCTCTAACTGCCCAGGTGTTGCCCCAACAGTTTTGCAGGGCAGGTTCCATTTGGGAAATCAGCAACACATCTGGAATTGAGAGAGTGTAACAGGCACGTTCAGTAAAAGGACTGCGTTCAAGAAGCTTGCATCCATTTGTTAGATTTTATACCACATCTTTCCTCGACAGTTTAAAATGTGTTGTGTTCCTCTTAATGTTATTATTGTAGTAATAGCCCTCTGAGGCAATTCAGACAGAGAGGCTGCAACTGACTCACAATTCACCAAATGGGTTTCCATGACTGAGGGCAGACATAACCTGGGCCTCCTCAGTCTTAGTCAAGCATTCTAAATTTAACTCATGGAACCCTACATGGGAAACTACAAGTCCCAGAACACACATCTACCACTTTTAACTGCCCAGGACTGCCATTCGACATTCTTTTAACATTTTAACTAAACCTAAAAATAGATGTCAGGAAGGCAAGGAGGTAGCAGGTAACAATAATACACTTTCTGAACGCAATATCATCTTCTTAGATGTCACAACCAATAACTTTGTTAGTAGCTGAATGAACAACTGAGGGAAAACAAACAAACAAACAAACCTATCCAAATTATTGCTTCTGGAATTGATTCTAAAAAGACCTCTCCCCTATCCTATGATTACTTCACAGACAATGGCGGGGAAGAAAACACATACTACAGATCCTGCAGGAAACCAGACATACTGCAACAAAGGTGGAACTGAGGCTGGGCATTAGCAGAGCAAAAAAAGCATTCTGTATTCTGTAAATTTTGAAGCAGAAGATGAAGGGTGCTGGATCTTTCTACCTGCCATCTAGATAACCATCAGCAAAGCAAACAGGGCCTCCATTTGTAGAAAAGCCTCAAATGCAGCTAAACGACCTCACGCCCCCAAGCACCACCTCCTACCTGGATGGCAACCACGGCCTTCTCCTTGTCTGTCTCCAGATCGATCCTGAGCTCCGGCAGGACCTTTCCTTCAGACACCAGCCTGTGGCGCAGCTTCTCCAGAGCATCGCTGCCGTTGGAGATCAGCTCCCGGATGAACACCTGTCAAAGAGCGCGCTGAGCTCTGCAGAGCGAGGGGGTTCCTAAGCCCCGCGGAACAGCAGCTCCAGGCCGCCGGCCCCACCCTGGAAGGCTCACCTCCTGCTCGGAGTAGAGGGAGCGGGCCACGATGTCCAAAAGTTTCTGGGTCTCGGCCTGGAACTCGTGCTTCGAGGAGGAACCTGCAAGACCAAGAGGGGGAGAGTAGCGGCCTCCCGACCCCCGCCCAGGAGAGTCCGCCCGGCCCGGCGAGGGCTGCGACAACCTACCCGGGACGCTCTCCGGCCTGTTAGGCGGCTGGGGCGGCGGCGGTGGCGCCTGTCCGTCGACCCGAGCGGCACGGTTGCTGCACGCGCGCCGCGAGGCCCAACTGGGCAGCCCT